TGTGTAAACGCAGTCTAAAGCGAGCCTCACATGTCCTCTGTGTATCAGATCCCTCTGCTCCTGTATCTGTCTGAATCTGCCGGAGCGGTTCATCAGCAGAGACGCCGCTGGCTTCTGCAGGAACCCTGAAACACACACAGTGTGAGAGCTTTTGATCAGATGGATATCATCATAACACACACAGTTACAGGATATAACCGGGTGGAGTGAGATTGTGTGTAGGAAACGGCTTGGAGTGGCTTGCAGTCTTCACTGACTCATGGCTTGAGCAAAGCTTCTCCAGAGATGACACACACTGCAGGACTGGTTACATAAAGATCCGCAGCCCGTCAGATACAGTGTGTTTTGGACCCGTTGAGTGCATTGTTTCAGCAGTTCAACACATGAGATGAGAATATTATTACTTTATGATAACTTTATGACCTATACGCAGTTTTTTTTAAATAATCACTATAAATCTTTCGAAAGCAGAACGAAATGTAAATGTACTATCAAATTTAGGCTAGTTAATGCTAATTTAAAAGACTCAGATGTATTTCATTAATATCTTAAGTACACAGATACATGTCACTGAGAAACACGACAGACGGACTCACGTGAAATGAAGTCCTGCTGTCTGCGTCTCTCGGTCATGTGACGGTGCCAGTGCTGGAGGGCGTGGCTCTGGTGGCTCCGCCCCGTTTCGGCTTCATCATCGCTGTCACTCTCAGTCGCCACCACTAGAGGGAGGAGTTTCTGTGCGACTGGAATCCGCTGCACAAGCTGAAGAGAACAACAGTTATGTATAACAGTCCTGCATCTGGAAAAAAAAAACGTATATTTGCTAATTTGATGATATAAAAATATCAATAAAAACGTTCCAGAATGTACAGCTTTTTCACAAAATAAGAATGAAGATTTTTCAAATTATTTATATGCATCAGCATTGATTAACTCATCAAAATAAAAGCAGTCAAATATAAAAAAAATAGGTTTTAATGACAAAAATAACTATTCAAAATGTATCATTTAATTTAGCCATCAGCCAAGGAGTTTGTTTAAAAACTCAATTTAATGTCAAAGAACTTTACATAAACAAGTTTACAATGAACAAATAAGCTTTTTCACAAAATCTGTACTTTAGCAGAAAACATTCTTCTGTCATTGGCCATAATTATAACCTTCAAATCAGGATTAGGCAATAAAATAATGTCACATATGTGCAGAGTTGAACAGAAAGTTGTCCCTGCTAAGAGGAAGATATGAATCATGTCTTTTCTGGTCAATATGATACCATACAAACGGTTGTGGAAAGCAAAAATGAACGAAATGACCCATATTTTGAGAGCAAAAGTGACGTGCTGGAGTAAAAAAGCACTATGGGTGGAATCAGCACCCGAAACATAAGAAACAAGTATTCATTCAGTAAATATGACGCAGGGAAACCACAAACATCTGTCAGGCCCTGTTTGGCTTCTGTGCAGTTTTCGCTTTCCGCGACTCTCACCTCCGTCTCCCCTCGCTGCTGCATCTCTGTCCTGAAATCCTCCAGGTTTCCCAGAATGCTGTGCGGCAGGACCATCCCCTGCGCGTCAAACCGCGGCCCACCGGGACCTTCAGGCGCAGAGAGAGAGTCAAAAACATCGATCACACTGACCTTCCTGTTCAAAGCCACGCCCACCCACCTGCATATTCAAATGAGGGAGGCGGAGTCTCGTCGTCTCGTGGGAGGGGCCTCGCCACGGTGACCCGGACCTTTCTGCCGACCTCGTCGGGGGGGCGTGTCTTACGCACGTACACGCGGGTCATGGGCTTGGGCTTCTGGGAATCAGTAGGTGGTTTAGGGACTCGCAGCTGCACACAACACAGCAAAAACACACGTTATGTGGGATCGGGAGATCGGGGAGTCTCTTCTGCTCACCAAGGCTGCATTTATTTGATTAAAAATACAATAAAACTGTAATATTGTGAAATATTATTTCAATTTAAAATAACTGTTTTGTATTTATATTTTAAAGTGTAATTTATTTATTTTAAAGTTGTATTTTCAGCATCATTACTCTCTTCAGTGTCACATGATCCTTCAGAAATCATGAATAATATGATCATTTGCTGCTCAAAAAACATTCATTATTATTATCAATTAATATGTTTTTGTATTTCTAATCAAATAAATCCAGCCTTGGTGAGCAGAAGAGACTTCCTTTAAAAACATTCAAAATCTTAGCGATCCCAGACGTTTGACGTAGTGTGTGTGTGTGTGTGTAGGGGGTGTAAACTCACCCGCTCCAGGTCTTGTGTTGTGTGTGTGTGTGTGTGTGTGTGTAGGGGGTGTAAACTCACCCGCTCCAGGTCTTGTGTTGTGTGTGTGTGTGTGTGTGTGTGTGTGTAGGGGGTGTAAACTCACCCGCTCCAGGTCTTGTGTTGTGTGTGTGTGTGTGTGTGTGTGTGTGTGTAGGGGGTGTAAACTCACCCGCTCCAGGTCTTGTGTTGTGTGTGTGTGTGTGTGTGTGTAGGGGGTGTAAACTCACCCGCTCCAGGTCTTGTGTTGTGTGTGTGTGTGTGTAGGGGGTGTAAACTCACCCGCTCCAGGTCTTGTGTTGTGTGTGTGTGTGTGTAGGGGGTGTAAACTCACCCGCTCCAGGTCTTGTGTTGTGTGTGTGTGTGTGTGTGTGTGTGTGTAGGGGGTGTAAACTCACCCGCTCCAGGTCTTGTGTTGTGTGTGTGTGTGTGTGTGTAGGGGGTGTAAACTCACCCGCTCCAGGTCTTGTGTTGTGTGTGTGTGTGTGTGTGTGTGTGTGTGTGTGTGTGTGTGTAGGGGGTGTAAACTCACCCGCTCCAGGTCTTGTGTTGTGTGTGTGTGCGTGTGTGTAGGGGGTGTAAACTCACCCGCTCCAGGTCTTGTGTTGTGTGTGTGTGCGTGTGTGTAGGGGGTGTAAACTCACCCGCTCCAGGTCTTGTGTTGTGTGTGTGTGCGTGTGTGTAGGGGGTGTAAACTCACCCGCTCCAGGTCTTGTGTTGTGTGTGTGTGTGTGTGTGTGTGTGTGTGTGTGTAGGGGGTGTAAACTCACCCGCTCCAGGTCTTGTGTTGTGTGTGTGTGCGTGTGTGTAGGGGGTGTAAACTCACCCGCTCCAGGTCTTGTGTTGTGTGTGTGTGTGTGTGTGTGTGTGTGTAGGGGGTGTAAACTCACCCGCTCCAGGTCTTGTGTTGTGTGTGTGTGTGTGTGTGTGTGTGTGTGTAGGGGGTGTAAACTCAGCCGCTCCAGGTCTTGTGTTGTGTGTGTGTGCGTGTGTGTAGGGGGTGTAAACTCACCCGCTCCAGGTCTTGTGTTGTGTGTGTTGTGTGTGTGTGCGTGTGTGTAGGGGGTGTAAACTCACCCGCTCCAGGTCTTGTGTTGTGTGTGTGTGTGTGTGTGTGTGTGTAGGGGGTGTAAACTCACCCGCTCCAGGTCTTGTGTTGTGTGTGTGTGCGTGTGTGTAGGGGGTGTAAACTCACCCGCTCCAGGTCTTGTGTTGTGTGTGTGTGTGTGTGTGTGTAGGGGGTGTAAACTCACCCGCTCCAGGTCTTGTGTTGTGTGTGTGTGTGTGTAGGGGGTGTAAACTCACCCGCTCCAGGTCTTGTGTTGTGTGTGTGTGTGTGTAGGGGGTGTAAACTCACCCGCTCCAGGTCTTGTGTTGTGTGTGTGTGTGTGTGTGTGTGTGTGTAGGGGGTGTAAACTCACCCGCTCCAGGTCTTGTGTTGTGTGTGTGTGTGTGTGTGTAGGGGGTGTAAACTCACCCGCTCCAGGTCTTGTGTTGTGTGTGTGTGTGTGTGTGTGTGTGTGTGTGTGTAGGGGGTGTAAACTCACCCGCTCCAGGTCTTGTGTTGTGTGTGTGTGCGTGTGTGTAGGGGGTGTAAACTCACCCGCTCCAGGTCTTGTGTTGTGTGTGTGTGCGTGTGTGTAGGGGGTGTAAACTCACCCGCTCCAGGTCTTGTGTTGTGTGTGTGTGCGTGTGTGTAGGGGGTGTAAACTCACCCGCTCCAGGTCTTGTGTTGTGTGTGTGTGTGTGTGTGTGTGTGTGTGTGTGTGTAGGGGGTGTAAACTCACCCGCTCCAGGTCTTGTGTTGTGTGTGTGTGCGTGTGTGTAGGGGGTGTAAACTCACCCGCTCCAGGTCTTGTGTTGTGTGTGTGTGTGTGTGTGTGTGTGTGTGTAGGGGGTGTAAACTCACCCGCTCCAGGTCTTGTGTTGTGTGTGTGTGTGTGTGTGTGTGTGTGTGTGTGTGTAGGGGGTGTAAACTCAGCCGCTCCAGGTCTTGTGTTGTGTGTGTGTGCGTGTGTGTAGGGGGTGTAAACTCACCCGCTCCAGGTCTTGTGTTGTGTGTGTTGTGTGTGTGTGCGTGTGTGTAGGGGGTGTAAACTCACCCGCTCCAGGTCTTGTGTTGTGTGTGTGTGTGTGTGTGTGTGTGTAGGGGGTGTAAACTCACCCGCTCCAGGTCTTGTGTTGTGTGTGTGTGCGTGTGTGTAGGGGGTGTAAACTCACCCGCTCCAGGTCTTGTGTTGTGTGTGTGTGCGTGTGTGTAGGGGGTGTAAACTCACCCGCTCCAGGTCTTGTGTTGTGTGTGTGTGCGTGTGTGTAGGGGGTGTAAACTCACCCGCTCCAGGTCTTGTGTTGTGTGTGTGTGCGTGTGTGTAGGGGGTGTAAACTCACCCGCTCCAGGTCTTGTGTTGTGTGTGTGTGTGTGTGTGTGTGTGTAGGGGGTGTAAACTCACCCGCTCCAGGTCTTGTGTTGTGTGTGTGTGTGTGTGTGTAGGGGGTGTAAACTCACCCGCTCCAGGTCTTGTGTTGTGTGTGTGTGTGTGTGTGTGTGTAGGGGGTGTAAACTCACCCGCTCCAGGTCTTGTGTTGTGTGTGTGTGTGTGTGTGTGTGTGTGTAGGGGGTGTAAACTCACCCGCTCCAGGTCTTGTGTTGTGTGTGTGTGTGTGTGTGTGTGTGTGTGTGTAGGGGGTGTAAACTCACCCGCTCCAGGTCTTGTGTTGTGTGTGTGTGTGTGTGTGTGTGTGTAGGGGGTGTAAACTCACCCGCTCCAGGTCTTGTGTTGTGTGTGTGTGTGTGTGTGTGTGTGTAGGGGGTGTAAACTCACCCGCTCCAGGTCTTGTGTTGTGTGTGTGTGTGTGTGTGTAGGGGGTGTAAACTCACCCGCTCCAGGTCTTGTGTTGTGTGTGTGTGTGTGTGTGTGTGTGTGTGTAGGGGGTGTAAACTCACCCGCTCCAGGTCTTGTGTTGTGTGTGTGTGCGTGTGTGTAGGGGGTGTAAACTCACCCGCTCCAGGTCTTGTGTTGTGTGTGTGTGTGTGTGTGTGTGTGTGTAGGGGGTGTAAACTCACCCGCTCCAGGTCTTGTGTTGTGTGTGTGTGTGTGTGTGTGTAGGGGGTGTAAACTCACCCGCTCCAGGTCTTGTGTTGTGTGTGTGTGTGTGTGTGTGTAGGGGGTGTAAACTCACCCGCTCCAGGTCTTGTGTTGTGTGTGTGTGTGTGTGTGTAGGGGGTGTAAACTCACCCGCTCCAGGTCTTGTGTTGTGTGTGTGTGTGTGTGTGTGTAGGGGGTGTAAACTCACCCGCTCCAGGTCTTGTGTTGTGTGTGTGTGTGTGTGTGTGTGTGTAGGGGGTGTAAACTCACCCGCTCCAGGTCTTGTGTTGTGATGGCCAGACTCTGGATGTCGTGTCCGTTCAGAGCCAGGCTGTGGTCTTCCTCACACACACACGATGATGATGATGATGATGAGATCTCCTCACAGCTTCTCAGGAGCTTCTTATCTGACACACACGAGGAGAGACGCAGAGCTGATGACCACACACACACAGATGTGGGAAAGCCACGGATTTAATGTCGTTCATTTCAAATTTTCTGACATTTGCCCATAAATACTTGCTGTAATTATTTAATAAGACATAAATAGAAAAAAAGAGTTTGTAGATTGTTAGATTTTTCAAATTAAATAAGAGACTCCTTTCTTCTGCTCACCAAGACTGTATTTATTTAATAAAAAAATAGTGTAATATTATTATACTTTAAAATAACTGTTTTCTTTCTATATGTGTATATATAGTAAAATATTTAATCTTGTGATCAAAGTTGAATTGTCAGCATCATTACTCTCTTCAGTGTCACACGATCCTTCAGAAATCACTCTGATATGATGATCTGAGGATCAAGAAACATTTATGATTATTATCAGTGTTGATGCTGCTTCATATTTTTGTGGAAACTGCGATACTTTTTAATTCTCAGGATTCTTTGATGAATAAAGGTTCAAAAGAACAGCATTTATTTGACATTTTGTCACTTTTGACCAATAAAAGTATTAATTTCTTTCAAATAAAAACCTCACTGACCCCATACGTTTAAACTGTAGTGTAAAGTATGAATTTCCTCATCAAATATACATCATATTTCGAACATCATGACCGGTAGACACACATGATCAATCACACACAAACCCTAAACACACACATGAGCAATGTGTCATTTCTACAAACAACGGCTCTTATTGTCCAGAGAAGACAAAACACAGATCAACAAAAGAAGGAAAACACAAGCGCTGCTGGTGTGAGTCAGCGAGACGACAACACTGATTATGATATCTGATAATCCATCAGCTACGACAGCAGCTTCACACACACACACACACTGGCTGTGGAAACACCTCGCAGGCGCATCCACACACACACTGGCTGCAAACCAGCAGGTTATACGTCTATAGCCGTCATAAACACACACTGGCTTAAAGAAGGTGTGTAAGCGTCTGGAGCTTCGGTCTGGAGACACACACACACACACACACACACACACACACACGGTCCACATCAGGATCTGCTCAACTGGAGAAATAACACATTCATGAATCAATTCAATAAGGATATTTTTGTATTTTAATTATACAACTATTTCTATTTAGAAAAAAACAAAAACCTTAAAAGAGAAAGAAAAGTAGGATATTATTAAATTAAGATTAGCACAATGTAATAATTTGTTATATTATATAATATTACAGAAATGGCGAAAAAATAATGTAATTTGAAAACATGGAAAAAATTTAAATGTATATATATATAAAAAAAATAGGGTATATTTAAAATTTCAATTAAATATTGAAAAATTTAAAATTTAAAATGAAAAATTAGGATATAAAATTAACAATAGAATAAAAAAATATTCCAAATATTGTATTATATTAGAAAACTGTTCTAAACGTAATATAATGTCATTTGAAAAAAATCATTATATTATATAAATATTGTAATTTAATATTGAAAAACTGAAATTATAAATTAAAAAAATTTGGATATAAATTAATATTTGCGCAATTAATTATAAATTTGCACAATACAAATATTTATAAGATAATATAATGGAATTAGAAAAATTTAAAAATAGTTAATAGTAAAATAAAATGAACATTTGTTAAATATAACAACAAAGTATTGAGTTATGTCATATGATTATATTACATTATATATAATTATTGTAATTAATTGAAAAA